ATATATATATATATATATATATATATATATATATATATATATGTGTTGTGGCAAGCTCTGAATAATAAAGAATCTAAGCCGATAACAAAATGAATGAATGAATGAATACATGAATGACTGAATATATTTATAGTATTATTTATTTTCTTTTTATTTTCATGTATTTTATTTTTTCTGGATGTGTTTTTTTGCACTTTTTGCAATGGTCTTGGATATAGTTTGTGTCTGAATTTGTATTAATAGTTTGTGTGACGTTTCAAGGCTTAGCATATAAAAAATTGCTAACAAAATGTATATAAGAAGTTATGTAGACAAATTAAGCAAAGTGTGTGTGGGCAGCGGCAATCTCTTAAATTCTTAAATAAAGGCATGATCATACTCTTAAAGTCACGTTTAAAAACGAACGAATAAATCTGCAGTTCATTAAACAGATTAAAACAAAAGTAAAAAAATAAACACAAGTCATACATTTGTTTTGCAACAGGTTTTAATTTGATGACAATGTTGCATCTCCTGCATCAAGACGAGGATAAATACATCTTACATCTGACAAAACACATCTTACAAAATGAATCACAAATGAAACAACACTTTACATTTAAACATGTTACACAAGATATGTACACAACATTAGCTCCTTTTATATAGCAAGAAAACACATGTACCTCACTGTACAACAACGATGAATAACATGACACTAAACTCCTGAGAAAATCCCAGGTTATATTTTAGTGCACAGCGTCATTTCTTTAAGGCTAAATGACTTTAATTTATCTGCATTTATTTTATTTATGCACGATGTCAATAATATTTGCCTGAATAGAGTTTGCCATGTTTGTTCCTGAGGACAAAAGTGTCGCTGAAAGCTCTGTATAGGCCTTAGGCACCGTTTTCCTTCAATTATGAACCAATAATTCCACTTTGTGCATATGAAGAAATCATAATTCCTGCACTGCGTCACCGTGTCTCCTCTGACATCATCTCCGAGAGCTTATGTAAATCCACGGAGGAGCAGAACACGAAAACGCAACTCTGCTGCCCTCGTGTGGAGAGGTTCAGTCAGTGCAGGACAAAATTGTAACGTAAACCTGCACAAAATAGACTTAAAAATTAAGAAAGTTCACTCAAAAATGTTTATTTACCCGCTGCTAGTTCCTTTATGCCTTTATTTATGTTAACGTCATTCCCAAATCATAGAAGTTTATTATCTTTGTTTAAACCTAAACAGGGCCGGAGTGGGACACCTTTTCAGCTCTGGAGTTTCAAGCCTCAGACCGGCCCACCTCAGTTCACGACTGACTATATTAAAATAAGTAAATAAATAAATATTTCCCAATCAGTTTCTAATGACACTATCACGTCTTTTTTTTTTTTTTTTTTTTGAGAAAACAGCTGCTTTAGAACTTCAAATGTTCAGCAATCCTAACAGTATTATATGTCTATCAATAAAAATGAAAACACTAAACTACTCTAACGAGGATCGAACCCGGGTCCGTGGCGTCTTAACCTAACGTGCTATCCGCTCGACCACAACTGTTTTGTGAATGATGACACAACTGAGTTTTATCATAATTAAAATAGATCAAAAGAGAAGAGTTGCGGTATAATAATGAATAAAAAGGCTGTGGTCAAGTAAATAAATAAATGTAAAAAGTGTGATTGCTGAGAGCAACAGATTCTGGAGCTAGGGACACCGGTCCTCGCGGCCAAAAAACGGACCGGCCCACCGGGAATTCTCCCGGTCCTCCCGATTAGCCAATCCGGGCCTGAACCTAAGCTTAAGTCATATTTTTATTGAGGTCTCTCATTTATTGAATCTTTTTTTTCGTTTATCTATTCTTTTCTACGTATTTGAGGATGTTTTTTTTATTCTTTTGTACAGCACTTTGGTCAACAGTTGTTGTTTTGAATGTAATTTATAGCAGACTAACTTACAACAACAAGATATAATTTGTGGAATGTTGGAAATCGGCAGCTATTGACCTCCATTTTAGAAATAGAAATACCACAAAAGTCAATGGCTATTGTTTACAACAAAGTTATATCAATATGTGTTCAACAGAAGAAAGAAACCTGTTCGGAAACAAGCAGAGGATGAATAAACGATAACAGAATTTCATTTTTGGGTGAACTGTCCCTTTAAGAGCATCTAGTATTTTAACAACAATGTTCTTGTACTAATAAATAACTCCAAACAATATCAGACTAACAGAATGTCTACATAAGACGGCTTATAAGATGATGCTGATGAAATAATTGGACATTTGAGTGCAAAAACGGGGTGTGAAATGTGTTATTGATGATGTTTGTACTGTATCTTGTAATATGTTCTGATCCTGTTTATTTCCTGTACCTGTCCAGCAGGTAGTTTAAAATATCTACGATTAATACAGTATTTACAGCTCTTCCTTCCTCAAGTCATGAGGTATTAAACTCTGAAGGATTAGAGAATGAAATGCATTGGCTTGTTATACAACGTTCCCACAAAAACTGTCCTCAAGGCTTTATCTTTGGAATGCTAATGAAAAATTGATTGTCATATCTCGGTGGCGTGTGGATGGTGTTAAAGTGCTCGATGGCTTTTCAAAGACGGGACTCCCGTCGAGAACCTAAAATAGAAAACATGAGGGGAAATGGAAAAGCACCTGCTCTCTCGTCCGCATCCGTTTAAATGTTAAAACTCCAGATTTTTAAATTGTCATTCTTGTGTGCGATAAGCCCAAAGGTTTTTATAGCCTTCAGTTGGCCAACTATAATTCTTTTATCTTTAGTTTTTTTTTGGTGGTGATTTATGAATGAGTGCAAAAAATGAAACTCAAGACAGTCTATACATTATATTAAAAAATCCGATAAATATCTCATAAAGCTTGAATGCAAGTGCATGTAAAAGAATTGAATCTCTTCGTCTATCTCTCTCACTACCTGACAAAAGTCTTGCTGTTGATCCCAGTTGTAAGAGCAACATTTAATAACTTGACTTGTAATTGATCAGTTGGAAAAGTGGCAGATATTTCAAATGAATCATATGTTGAACTGCATCCCAATCTTCAGAAATAATTCAGAAGACCTATTGGAACCCACAAGGACCCAAGAATCTTAGAAATCAGTCAAGTTTGGTGAAGGAAAAATCATGGTTTGGGGTTAAATTCAGTATGGGGGAGTGCGAGAGATCTGCAGAGTGGACGGCAACATCAACAGCCTGAGGTGTCAAGTCATTTGTGCTGCCCATTATATTACAAATCACAGGAGAGGGCAAATACTTCAGCAGGATAGCACTACTTCTCATACTTCAGCCTCCACATCAAAGTTCCTGAAAGCAGGATTTGCCAGCCCAGTTACTAGATGTGAACATTATTGAGCATGTCTGGGGTAAGATGAAGGAGGCTTTGAATAGGAATCTAAATAACCTTGATGAGCTCTGGGAGACCTGCAAGAAGGCTTTCTTTGCCATTCCAGATGACTTTATTAATAAGTTATTTGAGTCATTGCAGAGATGTATGGATGCAGTCCTCCAAGGTCATGGGAGTCAGACACAATATTCGTTCTTTTTCCACATGACTTCATATTGTATACTGGACATTATTTCTGTTAAGTGACAAGACTTTTGTCTAAACAAAGTCAGACTTTACTGTCCTGATTCAATTATTCAATTTCAAAATTAGGTCATGATCATATTTTATTTGGTAAAATTAGCGTATTCTAGAGGCCCACTTCTGATACTAAATGATCAACTAGAAGTCAAGTTATTATTTGTTGTTCCTAAAAGTTGGATAAAGTTGAAGGGTTTGGATCAGGGATGGGCAAACTCGGTCCTGGAGGGCCGGTGTCCTGCACAGTTTAACTCCAACTCTCATCAAACACACCTGCTTATAGATTTCTAGTGATCTTGAAGACACTGATTGGCATGGTTCAGGTGTTTTTGATTAGAGTTGGAGCTAAACTATGCAGGACCGAGTTTGCCCACCCCTGGTTTAGATGCAAAAACATCTAAATGCCATCTGAAATTTTTCTCTTTAAATGAGCATTTTTATCAGGCTCCTGTCTGTATGTTGAGTAATATAATGTTTATGGCAAAGATTAAGTCCTATTCTTGGTCTTTAAAGTGAAGTATTTCCACATAAACAAAGGAGGCTGGGACAAATTGTCATTATTAATGGAAATTTCTGATGGCATTTAGAGGTTTTTGCATCTGAACTCTTCATATGTATATGTGCATTGACATTATTTTCATGACAATTTACATATTATACGATAAACAATTAATATATTATACCATACTTCTACCATGATCCTCAAAAATTTAAAAATCTAATTATTCATTGATCGTTTTTGTTCCGTTGTATAGAAATAATACAAAATTATTATTGATTCTCATTACTGTAATGTTTTTTCCCTCAATATTTGTTTTATATTTGAAAACATCAGCTATTAGATTTAAATATTTTATATAAAAATCAATATTTTATATAAAAAACTATCATCAAAAACTATTGAATATTTTATATAAAAAACTATCATTTTTGTATATAATTTAAGATCTATAACAATAACCTGATAAAAATTTACTTTAAAAACAAAAACAATAAAATTAAATTAACGGATTAATTAAAGGATAAATTACTTTGATTATATTTAATATTTAATTCAATAATGATAATAATTGCATAATTATTATATTAGTTAAATATTATAAAAAATAAGTAGGGGCATCACGGTGGCGCAGTGGGTAGCACAATCGCCTCACAGCAATAAAGTAGATGGTTATAAATTAATTGGGTAGGCTATATTGTTCATAGTGTATGTGTGTGAATGAGTGACAATGGATGTTTCCCAGTACTGGGTTGCAGCTGGAAGAGCATCCGCTGCGTGAAACATATGCCGAAATAATTGGCGGTTCATTCCACTGTGGTGATCTCTGAAATAGAGACTAAGCCGAAGCTAAATGAATGAATTTACTATGGTATATAAACACTCTATGGTGTGTGTGTGTGTGTGTGTGTGTCTGTATAGGTCTATATTACAGTACATTACATTACAGTAATGAGAATTTGAGAATAAATGTGTTAAATTATTATTAAAATAATGTCAAAATGCACAAAGCAACCCCAAAATAGGCTTCATTTGGTTTAAGCCAAGTATTATTCCTTATTCTTCTTTTGAATTTGGGGTTTGGGGAGATTCATTACTCTATAAAGAGATCGTCGGAGCAAAACTGCTTCTGCCGAACCGTGAAGAGGGCACTTAGGGTGACTTCCTACATGATCTGATCAAGATTCCAGGAGACAGAAGGGATGATGGGTAAAAGTCAGCAGAAGAAGATCTCTCCATCCACAGCCGGCTCTGTCAGAGGCAGCAGATGTGAAGCTGGAGACACGAAACAAACCGCAGGAATTGAGAAATAAACACAGACTTAGACAGATACACAAGACAAATCACTAGTCAATTATTCACACTTTTTTCTGAAGCAAATGCCATCCTGCTGACTACAGCGGTAGAGAAAAAAAACATTCCAGAAATCAATTCTGTGTTGATTCAGAGATTTTCAAAATGCAATGATAATCTATCTTGAATTGACTGAGCTCAGTTTTTAACAGCAGATGACGCTCTAGGCTAGTTTTTAAATAGCAGGAGGCGATCTAGGATAGTTTTTAATCAACAGATGGCACTTTAGGCTAGTTTTTAAAAGCAAATGGCAATCTAGGCTACACTAGTTTTTCACTCTAGGCTAGTTTTTAACAGCAAATGGTTCTCTAGATGAGTTTTTAGCAGCAGATGATTCTCCAAGATAATAGCAGATGGAGCCCTATGCTAGTTTTTAACAGCAGATGGCACTCTATGATAGTTTTCATCATCGGATGACATGCTAGGCTATATTTTAACAAGAAATGGCACTCTAGGCTGGGCTAGTTTTTAACAGCAGATGGTGTTCTTGGCTAGATTTTAACAGCAGATGGCGCTTTAAGCTAGTTTTTAACAACAGATGGCGCTCTACTCTAGCCTAGATTTTAACAGCAGATGGAGCTTTAGGCTAATTCTTAACAGCAGATGTCAGTCTAGGATAGTTCTTAACAACAGATAGCGCTCACTCTAGGCTAGTTTTAACAGCAGACAACACTTCAAGCTAGCTTTAACAGCAGATTATGCTCTAAGCTAGTTTTTAACAGCAGATGGCACTTTAGGCTAGTTTTTAACAGCGGATGGAGCTCTAGGCTAGTTTTTAACAGCAGATGATGCTCTAGGCTAGTTTTTAACAGCAGATGGAGCTCTAGGCTAGTTTTTAACAGCAGATGGAGCTCTAGGCTAGTTTTTAACAGCAGATGGAGCTCTAGGCTATTTTTTAACAGCAGATGGAGCTCTAGGCTAGTTTTTAACAGCAGATGGAGCTCTAGGCTAGTTTTTAACAGCAGATGGAGCTCTAGGCTAGTTTTTAACAGCAGATGATGCTCTAGGCTAGTTTTTAACAGCAAATGGAGCTCTAGGCTAGTTTTTAACAGCAGATGATTATCTAGGCTAGTTTTTAACAGCAGATGGAGCTCTAGGCTAGTTTTTAACAGCAAATGGTTCTCTAGATGAGTTTTTAGCAGCAGATGATTCTCCAAGATAATAGCAGATGGAGCCCTATGCTAGTTTTTAACAGCAGATGGCACTCTATGATAGTTTTCATCATCGGATGACATGCTAGGCTATATTTTAACAAGAAATGGCACTCTAGGCTGGGCTAGTTTTTAACAGCAGATGGTGTTCTTGGCTAGATTTTAACAGCAGATGGCGCTTTAAGCTAGTTTTTAACAACAGATGGCGCTCTACTCTAGCCTAGATTTTAACAGCAGATGGAGCTTTAGGCTAATTCTTAACAGCAGATGTCAGTCTAGGATAGTTCTTAACAACAGATAGCGCTCACTCTAGGCTAGTTTTAACAGCAGACAACACTTCAAGCTAGCTTTAACAGCAGATTATGCTCTAAGCTAGTTTTTAACAGCAGATGGCACTTTAGGCTAGTTTTTAACAGCGGATGGAGCTCTAGGCTAGTTTTTAACAGCAGATGATGCTCTAGGCTAGTTTTTAACAGCAGATGATGCTCTAGGCTAGTTTTTAACAGCAGATGGAGCTCTAGGCTAGTTTTTAACAGCAGATGGAGCTCTAGGCTAGTTTTTAACAGCAGATGGAGCTCTAGGCTATTTTTTAACAGCAGATGGAGCTCTAGGCTAGTTTTTAACAGCAGATGGAGCTCTAGGCTAGTTTTTAACAGCAGATGGAGCTCTAGGCTAGTTTTTAACAGCAGATGATGCTCTAGGCTAGTTTTTAACAGCAAATGGAGCTCTAGGCTAGTTTTTAACAGCAGATGATTATCTAGGCTAGTTTTTAACAGCAGATGGAGCTCTAGGCTAGTTTTTAACAGCAGATGATGCTCTAGGCTAGTTTTTAACAGCAGATGGAGCTCTAGGCTAGTTTTTAACAGCAGATGATGCTCTAGGCTAGTTTTTAACAGCAGATGGAGCTCTAGGTTATTTTTTAACAGCAGATGATGCTCTAGCCTAGATTTTAACAGCAGATGGAGCTTTAGGCTAATTCTTAACAGCAGATGTCAGTCTAGGATAGTTTTTAACAACAGATAGCGCTCACTCTAGGCTAGTTTTAACAGCAGACAACACTTCAAGCTAGCTTTAACAGCGGATTATGCTCTAAGCTAGTTTTTAACAGCAGATGGCACTTTAGGCTAGTTTTTAACAGCGGATTGAGCTCTAGGCTAGTTTTTAACAGCAGATGGAGCTCTAAGCTAGTTTTTAACAGCAGATGATTATCTAGGCTAGTTTTTAACAGCAGATGGAGCTCTAAGCTAGTTTTTAACAGCAGATGATGCTCTAGGCTAGTTTTTAACAGCAGATGGAGCTCTAGGCTAGTTTTTAACAGCTGATGATGCTCTAGGCTAGTTTTTAACAGCAGATGTAGCTCTAGGTTAGTTTTTAACAGCAGATGATGCTCTAGGCTAGTTTTTAACAGCAGATGGAGCTCTAGGCTAGTTTTTAACAGCAGATGGCACTCTATGATAGTTTTCATCATCGGATGACATGCTAGGCTATATTTTAACAAGAAATGGCACTCTAGGCTGGGCTAGTTTTTAACAGCAGATGGTGTTCTTGGCTAGATTTTAACAGCAGATGGCGCTTTAAGCTAGTTTTTAACAACAGATGGCGCTCTACTCTAGCCTAGATTTTAACAGCAGATGGAGCTTTAGGCTAATTCTTAACAGCAGATGTCAGTCTAGGATAGTTCTTAACAACAGATAGCGCTCACTCTAGGCTAGTTTTAACAGCAGACAACACTTCAAGCTAGCTTTAACAGCAGATTATGCTCTAAGCTAGTTTTTAACAGCAGATGGCACTTTAGGCTAGTTTTTAACAGCGGATGGAGCTCTAGGCTAGTTTTTAACAGCAGATGATGCTCTAGGCTAGTTTTTAACAGCAGATGATGCTCTAGGCTAGTTTTTAACAGCAGATGGAGCTCTAGGCTAGTTTTTAACAGCAGATGGAGCTCTAGGCTAGTTTTTAACAGCAAATGGAGCTCTAGGCTATTTTTTAACAGCAGATGGAGCTCTAGGCTAGTTTTTAACAGCAGATGATGCTCTAGGCTAGTTTTTAACAGCAGATGGAGCTCTAGGTTATTTTTTAACAGCAGATGATGCTCTAGCCTAGATTTTAACAGCAGATGGAGCTTTAGGCTAATTCTTAACAGCAGATGTCAGTCTAGGATAGTTTTTAACAACAGATAGCGCTCACTCTAGGCTAGTTTTAACAGCAGACAACACTTCAAGCTAGCTTTAACAGCGGATTATGCTCTAAGCTAGTTTTTAACAGCAGATGGCACTTTAGGCTAGTTTTTAACAGCGGATTGAGCTCTAGGCTAGTTTTTAACAGCAGATGGAGCTCTAAGCTAGTTTTTAACAGCAGATGATTATCTAGGCTAGTTTTTAACAGCAGATGGAGCTCTAAGCTAGTTTTTAACAGCAGATGATGCTCTAGTCTAGTTTTTAACAGCAGATGGAGCTCTAGGCTAGTTTTTAACAGCTGATGATGCTCTAGGCTAGTTTTTAACAGCAGATGTAGCTCTAGGTTAGTTTTTAACAGCAGATGATGCTCTAGGCTAGTTTTTAACAGCAGATGGAGCTCTAGGCTAGTTTTTAACAGCAGATGGAGCTCTAGGTTAGTTTTTAACAGCAGATGATGCTCTAGGCTAGTTTTTAACAGCAGATGATGCTCTAGGCTAGTTTTTAACAGCAGATGGAGCTCTAGGGTAGTTTTTAACAGCAGATGATGCTCTAGGCTAGTTTTTAACAGCAGATGGAGCTCTAGGCTAGTTTTTAACAGCAGATGGAGCTCTAAGCTAGTTTTAACAGCAGATGATGCTCTAGGCTAGTTTTTAACAGCAGATGGAGCTCTAGGCTAGTTTTTAACAGCAGATGATGCTCTAGGCTAGTTTTTAACAGCAGATGGAGCTCTAGGCTAGTTTTTAACAGCAGATGATGCTCTAGGCTAGTTTTTAACAGCAGATGGAGCTCTAGGCTAGTTTTTAACAGCAGATGGAGCTCTAGGCTAGTTTTTAACAGCAGATGATGCTCTAGGCTAGTTTTTAACAGCAGATGGAGCTCTAGGCTAGTTTTTAACAGCAGATGATGCTCTAGGCTAGTTTTTAACAGCAGATGGAGCTCTAGGCTAGTTTTTAACAGCAGATGATGCTCTAGGCTAGTTTTTAACAGCAGATGGAGCTCTAGGCTAGTTTTTAACAGCAGATGGAGCTCTAAGCTAGTTTTTAACAGCAGATGATGCTCTAGGCTAGTTTTTAACAGCAGATGATGCTCTAGGCTAGTTTTTAACAGCAGATGATGCTCTAGGCTAGTTTTTAACAGCAGATGATGCTCTAGGCTAGTTTTTAACAACAGATAGTGCTCTAGGCTAGTTTTTAACAGCAGATGATGCTCTAGGCTAGTTTTTAACAGCAGATGATGCTCTAGGCTAGTTTTTAACAGCAGATGGAGCTCTAGGGTAGTTTTTAACAGCACATGATGCTCTAGGCTAGTTTTTAACAGCAGATGATGCTCTAGGCTAGTTTTTAACAGCAGATGATGCTCTAGGCTAGTTTTTAACAGCTGACTGCTACTACTGTGCGACAGTACTACTAAGTGTTTGTTTTGCCATCTTGTATAATGAGGTATTTCTGTTATTCCCTGAGCCTCAGCTACTGTCGGCGTAATTCGGCACGTTCATTCAACTCATGTTTCAATGTTTAAAAAACACTGCTTTTATGAAAGAGTGGTAGGCATCCTGGTGTGCACAAGACTTAAAAGTATGTTAGATGTTTTCTTTAGCAGTCTAAAAAACTTTAAAAAACACTTTATGAAAATCCAAAAAGGCCAAAACATGAAAACTGACAGGTGCATGAAAAACCCATATGTTTTTTCTTGCCTGCAGTCTCTCACATTTACCAGAAATAAATGTGTGATGTTCTGCGACAGAGAACTTGTTACCAATTCCAGTCACAGCGGATGTGGCAGCAGTGGTTTTGCAGACTAATTGAATCAATTGTTTATCATGATCTCTATTAAATTAGCTTGTGTGATGTGGTGTGTGTTTGTGTGTGTGTGTTTACCTGCATCCTGAGGAGTCTGGCTTTTGCTCTTCTTCTTCTTCTTGTCCTTCTTCTCCTTGGATGTGGCCAGCTGAAGCAGTCGTGTGGGCATCTGGTTTTGTCCTTCTGTGCTCTGACTCTTTCCACCCAGAGAGAACAGGCTGCGGCTCTTCTGTTTGGAGTCCATGCGGGACAGAGAGTTTTTCCGGGGACTCGACGATAACTCGCTCTCCCAAGCCTCTCGCTCAATGGAGCTGCTGCTGTGGAGCTTCAGCGAATCCTCGGATGTGCTGGATGGGGTGCGATGAAGACGAGCCTGGACAACAAACCAGAAGAGATGTTAGAACACAATATCATAGGTCAGTCTGTCAGAGAATGAATGTTTATTTTATATAGGGAAGTTTTATGAAACTTCTGTTAGTCATGAAAAAAAAAAACACATACACACCTCCTGAATTACTATAATTATTATATATTCTTGTTCCCAATTTGTTCTATGGAAAAAATAATTTTTAACACATTTTTAAACATGATAGTTTTAATAACTCATTTCTAATAACTGATTTATTTTATTTTTTGTCATGATGACAGCACATAATATTTTACTAGATATTTTTCAAGATAAGAGTATTCAGCTTAAAGTGTCATTTAAAGGCTTAACTATTGACCTTATTCTAAAATGCTGAAGAGCGCCTGTTTTCTTGATTGTTTTAGATCTTCTGATTCAGTCGCATATGGGAGAAATGACTAGGAATAATAAACGGCAGAAAACGGTCAAACTACTTGCTCTACAAACAAATGTTTGCATGGCTTTACAGACCAAGTAGAATAATATAATCAGAAAATATCAGTTTGCAACATCAAACAGTAAAACAAGCAGTTTTTAATGTCTAAAAATGAATGGAAGTGAATGATACCGGATGTCTCAAGCCAAAAAGTTTCAAATGGCTGCGCCCGCTCGTCTGCGAAGAATAAGGTGAATAGGTTAATTAGGTAAGTTAGAGTAATTAGGCAAGTCACTGTATAACAATGGTTTGTTCCATAGACAATCCAAAATAAAAGTTGCTCAAGGGGGCTAATAATATTGACCTTAAAATGATTTAAAAAAATTAAAAACTGCTTTTATTCTAGCCAAAATAAAGCAAATAAGACTTTTATTTAAAACATTATAGGAAATACTGTGAAAAGTTCCTTGCTCTGTTAAACATCATTTTAGGAAATATTTAAAAAAGAAAAATTATTTGCCTTAATTAATACTTAATACTTTATTTTAAAACAGTACCGGTGCCAAAACGTGGCCTGAACCGCAAAATTTTGGTGGATGACTCCAGAAATAAAGATTTTAATCATTTTAATTGTACATAATTAAAGTTTAAAGTACACATCAATTTAAAATGTTATATATTTGAATTGAATTGCATTAAGATATTTCTTTTGATAATTTGTTTGTTTGTTAGCATAAATGTAAGATTTGCATTATGCAATTAACATTACCTTAGCTTACTACTAACCTGTAGTGTGAACACCTTTTTTCTAGGGCTTGTGACAACATTTACATGGACATCTGCTCTTTCTCTCTCCAGCCTCCATACTTCAAAATATCTTCTTTTGAGTTCAACAGAACTACTTGAACCATTTGAAGGTGATTAAACAGCAAGTACATTTTCATTTTGGGGTGAAATAAGCTACATCATCACTTTTTAAAAACAGATTTTCCCTTTTATTACAGTTTATTTAGTTTTTGTAATACTTTTTGATCAATTTCATTTTTTTATTAAATTTCTGTTTATTATGAAATATGAATCTTGTTGGTTTCTTGTTGTTGAGTTTCTTTCTTCTGTCAAACACAAAAGAAGATAATGCTGACAAGAAGAATGCTGAAATCCTGTGAAAACCTTCCACAGCAGGAAAAACGAATACTATGGAAGTCAATGGTTACAGGTTTTCAGCATTCTTCAAAATATCTTCTTTTGAGTTCAACAGAGCTACTTGAAACATTTGAGAATGGTGAGTTGAGAAATTGAGAAATAGTGAGTACCCTTTTATTTTGAGGTGAACTAAATTACATCATTACTGAAAAAAACTGGTTTCTCCTTTCATTATAGTACACATTTATTTATGAATGTACTCATTTAATTATGTGTATTACTTTTTTATTACTTTTTTTAAATCTGATTATTGTATTTCGTTTAAATACATTTTTTGTTTGTTCAGAGTTTGGCTATTTTATTTAAATCTTTTATTATTTCTGTTTTCTATGTTTAATTATTTTATAATTATTACATAATTCAACCCAGTATCACTGTATTCATTGCTTATTTAATATTAATTTGTGCTTGTTAACCAAAATAAATAGTTACATTTTTTTCAGCCGTTTCCATGGACACCCCAGCACACTCCCTCTTCATTTTACTACTTACTACATGCTTACTTTACAACATCCATTCAGCACGCGGTGGAAAAAACAAGCCATGCCCACTGTTTGCTCATTTAAAATTCTATTTCTCTAGGAACTTCTGTGGGTCAGTAAACCCCGTTTACTTCAAAATCTTGACGCTTCTCCATCAACTATGGTCTTAAAGAGACCCAAAAATCTAAACGTCCTCACTTTTTATTCACCCTCAAGTGGTTTATGGTCCAAACTTTTATGAGTTTCTTTCTTCTGTCTCACACAAATGAAGATATTCTGAAGTATGCTGAAATCCTGTGACTTCCACCGCAGGAAAAACTAATATTACGGAAGTCACAGATTACTCTTTGCTCATTTACAATTCCATTTCTCTAGGAGTTTTTACTTCAAAGTCTTGATGCTTCTCCATCAACTTTGGTCTTAAAGAAACCCAAAAATCAAAATGTTCTCAATATTTATTCACCCTCAAGTGGATTACGGTCCAAACTTTTCTTTCTTTTGTCTCACACAAATGAAGATATTCTGAAGTTTGCTGAAATCCTCTGACTTCCACAGAAGGAAAAACTAATACTACGGAAGTCAATGGTTACAGGTTTTCAGCATTCTTCAAATTATCTTCTTTTGTGTTCGACAATAGAAAGAAACTCATAAAGGTTTGAAACAAGTAAAGGGGTGAGTAAACGATGCCAGAATTGTCCTTTACAAGTGAACTATCCCTTTAAAAAGTCTGACCTGGACCTCTCTCAGGTGCTCGACTCTCTCCATCTCCTTCTGCATCTGCTCTCTCTCTCTCTCCAGCTTCCTCTGAGCATCTCTCAGCCGCTCCAGATCTTTCTGATAGTCCTCCTTGCGCCCCTGGAGCTGGACCTGCGCCTCCTCCATCTCTCTGCTTCGCCTGCGCACCTCCTCCTCCCTGACATGTAGCAGCACCTCGCGGTCGGTCAGTTCACGCTCCTTCACGTCCCACTCCTTCTCCTTGCGCTTCTTCTCCTCAGCGTGAGCCGCCTGCTGGCGGAGCAGAGCGGCGGCGTCCTGTCGGTGGCGCTCCAGGCTGCGCTGCTTTTCCTGCTCCACCAGTGATGGAGGGCGAGAGGAAGGCCGGGATGGGGTACGCTCGCTCAGGGCCTGACGCTGGTCCTCGATGAACGTGTCCTGCTGCAAGACCACAGCCTGGAGACAAAAAGGCATACAGGAAATAGATTAAGGGTAAATCATTGTAAATGGACACACTAAGCCTGGTGTGCTTTAATTTATATATTTATTTATTATACAAGTATATCTGCAAACACATTAATAAGGTATATTAAATCAGGCAAACTTCTGTGTGTCCAACAGGAATAAATAAAAATAAATTAATCAATTTAAACTAATAATTTAAAAATAAATATTTTATTCAGCAAGGATGCATAGACAGAATATATCACCCAAAAATGAGAATATGCTCACTATTTAATCACCTTTAAGTGGTTCCAAACCTAACTCGGGGTTCTTTCTTCAGTTGAACTCAAAAGAAGATGTTTTGAAGAAAGCTGTAACCATTGACTTCCATGGTGGAAAAAGCAAACACTATGGAAGTCGATGGTTACAGGTTACCAACATTTTTTAAAATATCTTCTTTTTTGTTCAACAGAAGAAATAAATTAATCGCCTGAATAAAGTAAAGGGCGAGTAAATTATAACATAATTTTCTTTTTTCGGGGTGAAGTCTCTCTTTAAATTGTTCAAAAATGTTTTTTTTAAATATCTATAATTGTACCATGTTTTAAAAAGCACTCTCAAAACCTTATGTCGATTTGCACAAGGCATTTTAAGCAGCATATGCCATCAACGATGTTAATAATAAGGAATGCTTTTTGAGCTAAACATACACCTTTGCCATTACAGAAATACACTGCATTTTAAAAAGCAAAACAATGTAATATAAGGCTCTCATATTAAAGAATATTAATTTCACATAAAATCCCCCCCCCCTTAAATTATTAGCCCCCCTGTTTATTTTTCACCCAACTTTTTGTTTAACAGAGTGAAAACATTTCTAAACATAATAGTTTTAATAACTCATTTCTAATAACTGATTTCTTTGATCTTTGCCAAGATGACAATAAATAATAATTTACTTGATATTTTTCAAGACACTTATATACGGCTTAAAGTGACATTTAAAGGCTTAACTAGGTTTATTAGGTTAACTAGGCAGGTTAGGTTAATTAGACGAGTTATTGTATAACGATGGTCTGTTCTGTAGATGATCGAAAAAACATATAGCTTAAAGGAGCTAATAATATTGTCCTTAAAATGTTTTTTAAAAGTAAAAACTGTTTTTTATTCTAGTTAAAATTAAAAATAAATAAATAAATAAATAATTCCTTGCTCCATTAAACATCATTGGGGAAATATAAAAAAATTAAAAATAAAAAATATAAAAAAAATAAAGGGGGGCTATATACACACACACACACACACACACACACACACAAACACACACACACACACCCTGATTTATTATTCCCCCTGTATATTTTGCCCCAAGATAAGATTTTTTTCAACACAATTCTAAATATAATAGTTTTAATACCTGACTTCTAATAACTGATTTATTTTATTTTTACCAGGATGACAGAATAGTTTACAGCATATTTTACTAGATATTTTTCAAGACACTAGTATTCAGCTTAAAGTGACATTTAAAGGCTTAACTTTGTTAATTAGGTTAATCAGGCAAGTCATTGTATAAAGATTGTTTGTTCTGTAGACAATATTGCTAAAGGGCGCTAATAATATTGAATATGGTTTAAAATGTTTAAAAAAGCTTTTATTCTAATTAAAATAAATAAGACTTTCTTTCTAGAAGAAAAAAATATTTTAGGAAATACTGTGAAAATCAAATAATTGTGACTTCAACTACATACATATATAAAATTCTATTTTACTTTATGAAATACACACCTGAAGAGAGCTCAGGAGGTCATGAAGGTGAGTGACGCTAGTTAGAACCTGCTGTCAGAAAACACAAGGCAAAAAACAATGATTTAATTATAACGTATCAACAACAGCAAACAAAACTGTACTCATCACAAATATATCCATACAGAGTACTTACATATAAAATTGTAATATATAAAAGTAATTAAATAAGATGGCTGTGATATCGACAAAACGTTATTTCTAGATTGCTGGGTGTATTTATTCATTCATTTATTTTCCTTCGGCTTAATCCATTCATTAATCAGGGGTCGCCACAGCGGAATGAACCACCGTGTATATATTTATTTAATGATTTATTTTTTATCACAACACTCAATCAACACTTTGCAGAGTGTCTCTCAATATTAACTTCCTTTGTTGAACTTTTTATGCAACTAATTCATAATTTGTCATACTCATACATTTTTATTAAAAATTATGACATTCCAATCTTAAACAACTGACAGTAATGCAACTTAACCTAACATTTAACAAGAGCAGTCAGATAACTTCAATTAAAAATCAATATTTAACATTTAAACACTGAAAAAAGTGACATTTAAAAATGTGCTCACATGCTGATGCTAGCTATTGCGATATATTACCATGTCCTGTTTAATTTTGTAAAAATATTTTAATATATTTATATATATATTGTAAAAAGATATTTCCTATCCTCTTGCAATGAATGCTTTATTTCTTAATTTTAAGAGAGCAAAAACACTCAATAACGTTACTCCACGCATCTTTAAAACAACAATTACAACATCACCGTAGACATTAAATATGGCACACCCAAATCTGAGACCAACTCAAGACAGGAAAAACATCCACATAAAACAAAACAGTTATGATCACCTCAATGGAAATCATTTGGGACGCCAAACTTAATTGTATGAAACTTTGGAGTTCATTGTGATGTTTTAAGGGACTTGAATTATGATCATTGACTTTATATTTTTGACTCCTATTTGATTTTGAGTCCTAGCATGGGAGGATTGTCATTACATCATTGTGGATGATGACGTAATTAAGTGCCGTAAAAGAACCAGTGATTTGTTTTTTTGAACTGGCAAAACGAATTGTCCGAAAGATCCAGTTCCAGGAAAAGACCTAAACTTCCCATCGCTATAGCAGGCTGCAGTGTGAGGAAATGATGTGCTCATGTCTTACCTCACTGTTTTTCTTGAGCAGCAGCAGCAGGTTGGTGTTTCCTCCCTGTGGAGCAGACAAGCAGAGACTGCGGCGTTACTCAGCCCAGCTGAGAGTGTTTAATCAGCCCAGCAGTCCTGATCCCAGTACAGCCCAGCACAACACAGAACAGCGGCGCTCATTACACACATTACAGACTCAGGCCATGCTGGGGTCCTAATGGGGGCTTATTCATTTTCCACCCTCCACCAAGCCTCTGCTGCACTAATGACTTTCATTATCTACAAAACCTGACAGCACACGTGTGTGTAGGAAGAACTGACTGACACTAGAGGGCAGTGTGCAAAATCTGGTTCTGTTTATTGGGGTTGCAGGATTTTTTTTATTGATGTAAAAACTGTTAACGGGGTTTAGACACATTTTTACTACTACAATCCTATTAAATAACCTATAGTTTCATGTAATGACTGCATACTGTACACTCACCGGCCACTTTATTAGGTACACCTTACTTTACCAGGTTGGACCTCCTTTTGCCTTCAGAACTGCCTTAATTCTTCATGGAATAGATTCGACAAGATACTAGAAATATTCCTTAGAGATTTTGGTCTATATTGACATGATAGCGTCCCACAGTTGCTGCAGATCTGCCGGCTGCACATTCATGATGTGAATCTCCCGTTCTACCACATCCCAAAGGTGCTTTATCGGATTGAGTAATGGTGACTGTGGAGGCCATTTGAGTACAGTGAACTCATTGTCATGTTCGAGAAACCAGTCTGAGATGATTTGCGCTTTATGACATGGTGCATTATCCTGCTGGAAGTAGCCATCAGAAGATGGGTACACTGTGATCATTAAGGGATGGACATGGTCAGCAACAATACTCAAGTAGGCTTTGGTGTTGACATGATGCTCAATTGGTACTAATAGGCCCCAAGTGTGCCAAGAAAACATCCCCCACACCATTACACCACCACCAGCAGCCTGAACCGTTAATATAAAGTGGGATGGATCCATGCTTTCATGTTGTTGATGCAAAATTTTGACCCTACCATCTGAATGTCGCAGCAGAAATCGAGGCTCATCAGACCAGACATTATTTTTCCAATCTTCTATTGTCCAATTTTGGTGAGTCTGTGCAAATTGTAGCCTTAGTTTCCTGTTCTTAGCTGACAGGAGTGGCACCCGGTGTGGTCTTCTGCTGCTGTAGCCCATCCACCTCAAGGTTGGACGTGTTGTGCGTTCAGAGATGCTCTTCTGCATACCTCAAATGTAGCGAGTGGTTATTTGAGTTACTGTTGCCTTTCTATCAGCTGGAACCAGTCTGGCTATTCTCCTCTGACCCCTGTCATCAACAAGGCATTTACGCCCACATAACTGCCACTCACTGGATATTTTCCCATTTTTTGGACCATTCTCTGTAAACCCTAGAAATGGTTGTACGTGAAAATCACAGTAGATCAGCAGTTTCTGAAATACTAAGACCAGCCCGTCTGGCACCAACAACCATGCCACGTTTAAAGTCCCTTAAATCACTTTTCTTCCCCATTCTGATGCTCAGTTTGAACTGCAGCCGATCGTCTTGACCATGTCTACATGCCTAAATGCATTGAGTTGCTGCAATGGGATTGGCTGATTAGAAATTTGTGTTAACGAGCAGTTGGACTGGTGTACCTAATAAAGTGGCCGGTATATGTACTGTATATGGTAAATAATAAGCAAATTGATTACAGCATAAAATAAGACATGCAACAATCTACTTAGTTTAAATTTATATTTATATCTATGTAAAAATTATTTAGATAATGCTTACACAGCACTAATAATGCGAAAGCATGTTTTTGGCCAAGGACAGGAAAGAAATAAAGTCAACTTTCTAAAACAATTACTAATTCCAAAACAATTGTGGGCCTTTCTGTATATTTCCAAATCTTTTCCAGGCATGGAAAATTTCATATCAAAATTCCATGACTTTTCCCTGTTTTCCATGCCTGTGTGTTAACAATGTAACTTTGAACATCAGATAAAGCATAGAAAAAATTTTATTATGCAGATTATAAAATATTATTTGTTCAATAAGATATTTATCTTCAAACTGAATATGCTTTCCAGATGTTTTATAGGTTTAATTGACATTCTATACTTCTTTCCGACAGGCGCTTCAGGTCACCTGGACAAAAACCAGACGACTGAGAAACAGCTTTTTCCTCAGAGCTGTCTCCCTTTAGAACTCTGACCCCCACTGACTCTTTTTCCCCCTCATACACCCCCACACTCTCCTCATAACTTACACTCCCCATAAACACGCCATTACACAATATTTAACATTTGCACAATTAATCGCACTACATTGCACTAAATCATCTTGAATTGTACATACCCACTACAAATGCATATAATGATCATGTCAATCTGCATACCTCTGATTACTGATAGCAACCTCTACATATATTCATATATTGTAAATCTCATTATGTTCATAGTTAATACAACCTGTACATAATGTTCATATCTATAAACATCACCATCATTTTTCTATACAGTAACTGCACTTTATAACTTATAGCTATATCCTGGACTTGCTGCTAATGCATTCCTGGTCAGACCTAAACTGCATTTCGTTGCCTTGTACTTGTACATGTGTAATGACAATAAAGTTCAATCGTTCATTTGATCGATCAATCAATCAATCGATTAATCAATTGATCAATTTATCTATCTATCTATCTATCTATCTATCTATCTATCTATCTATCTATCTATCTATCTATCTATCTATCTATCTATCTATCCATTCATCCATCCATCCATCCATCCACCTATCGTTTTATCCATCTATCCTTCTACTTATCTATATATCTATTCATCCATCCATCCATCTTAAAAACTATTTCTCCATATATGGGTAGATATGCAATTACATTTTATAAATGTTTTATCCATCCATCCATCCATTTATCTACATTATCTATCTATTGTACAGTGTAGTACTGTCCTAGGACTAAAATGGAAGTTGTTCAACAGTTTTAGGACAACTTTGATAAAAATTGATGATTCACTTCAAATGTTGACTACAGTATACTGAAACAGCACACTTAGATTTTAAAACAAACTCAGTCTCTGACTGAATAAAAGGATGTAATCTTGGCTTTCTTACCTTCTTCAGCACACTGTCAGACTCTGTCCTCCGCAGATCTTCAGCCTCCTCTTTCTCACCATCTACAGAAAATATAAACAATGTATGAACAACTGCCTCTTTATTTGTTTTTTCCTGGAATATAAGATTTTTGCTCTTTTTATTTGGTAGGTGTGTTTTTTCCCATTTCATTTTATTTAGAGTAGTAGCATGTTTTACATCACCTCTGAATGTTATTATAAAATGTGACTTATCTGTGTTTTTATTTTGTTTACTCTGACTGTGTGTGACTGTTTTTGTAGCTGAAGTCCATTACTCAGTACAAATTGCATTATAAAAATGTAGTTTTATATTAGAAACATAATTGGTTACATTACATTATAAACAGCTGAAAACATAATTATAAGCCCTCCTGTGAAATTATTCCAGTGTAACCTATTATATTTTTCTTCTGGAGAAAGCCTTGTTTCTTTCAGCTTTAAATAAAATAAAATAAAAATATGGTAAAATGAATTAATTTATTTAAAAATACATAAAATAAAACAACAATTAAAATAGTTCATTTTTAAATAAAATAAAAACTAAACAAAATAAAAAATGAAAAAATATATTTATCAAATAAAATTAAAAGAATAAAAACTTTTAAAATATTTTTTTTATTAAAATTAAATATTTTGTATAAAAATGAATAAAAATATAGAATGAAAAAAAAATATATATTTCAGAAATGTGTGATAAATGTAAACTCACCATGTGATTGTAGTTATATGTTTGTATTATGTCCCAAGTTGCAAAACTATTGGATTACTTTCTTTAAAATTGTTTCTGTTCAAGTTCCCGGTTTGCTCTTTAATTGCTATCTTTGGTGTTCCCTCTCAGTGTCAACCATTAAACCGGAGACACGCTGACATTGTGGATTTTTCATCTCTTCTCGCTAGGAGCAGAATGCTGTTGTCTTGGGCTTCCCACAACCCCCTCTATTTCATTGTGGCTCAAAGATTTGGTCTTCTTTTTAAAACTTGAGAAAATTAAGTACAATGTCAGAGGTAGAGGAGAACAATTTATTGCATTCTTTAATCTCTTAAAAACCTTAAATATAGATTGAGAGAAGGTATACAGTATGTGTATTTATGAATAGGGTTTGTTAATATTTTTATTATTTTTTTCTGTATTTGTATTTTTCAGATTTATTATTATTATTATTATTATTATTTATAGTTTTATTTTCTTTCATTTTTTTTTTCTTTTAAATGTTGATCGTTTTATTTGGGCATTGTTTTGCGGATTGTTGTAAAATGTAAAATTCTATTTGAGAGAATAAAAATTCCATGACAAAAATATAAATAAATAAAATACAAAATAAATAAAATAAAATTTAAAATAAAAATACCAAAAAATTAAATACAATTAAAATTAATTCATTATTTTTAAATAAAACAAAATAAAATATAACATAAAATACATAAAATATAGAATAAAAAAAATTCGTAAAATAAAAATAAAAAAATATTTACAATAAAATTAAATACAATTCAAATTAATTCATTATTTTTAAGTAAAATAAAATAAAACATAAAATATAGAACGAAAATAAAAAAATATAAAATAAAAAATAAAAATAGAATAAATTTAAATACAAATAAAATTAATTCCTTTTTAAATAAAATAAAATAAAATAAAAATATAATATAATATAATATAAATAAAAATATAGAATGAAAATAAAAAGCATATACAATAAAATAAAAAATAAATATACAATAAAATTAAATACAATTCAAATTAATTAATTATTTTTTATAAAAATAAAAATAAAACATTAAAAAAAAATATGGAATGAAAATAAAAAATGTATATAAAATAAAATGTATTAAAATTAAAAATACAATAAAATTAAATACAATTTAAATTAGTTAATTCTTTTTTTTTTTGATTGCTAAACTAACTTCTTAAAATGCACTTTACTCTGAATACTAGTTTTTGGCAAAATAACTAGTAAAATATTAATTAAAGCAAGTCAAAATCATGATTATAAAAAGCCATTGTTTTATTTTAGCATCAACGTTTCCTTCTGTCCATATTAAATAGCTCACGTTTGCAGGTGTTCATCTGGTGGCAGTCAAAGCCTCCGAAGGTCTCGGCTCTGCGTGGGAGACACACGGGTCCCATGATACCCTGCGCACAGGCCACCTGCTGCCCAACCGCTCCGCCCAGACTGCTGTTCACCAGCGCCTGCAGCATTTCCACTGATACACAAACACACATCTGGTTTATGATCTGTCTGAGGACTCTCCATACAGTGGAGGAAAATAAGTATTGAACAAGTCATTTTTCTTAGAAAACATATTTCTAAAGGTGCTGTTGACTTAAAATAGACACATACTGTAGACACATATTGTAAACACTCATAAAGACACACACACACATCACTAACTGCATTACATTAAGTGAGTTAGTGCTGCTGAAAGAGGATTAGAGCTGGAAATGAGCTGTTGCCGCAGCTGCCCCTGAACACTAATCAGTCATAAATAAGAGATGGGTTTGGGGAGGACAGGTTGAGTCCAGCTGAAGAGACTCTTACCCTCTCTCAGAGCGTCTGTCATGATGGGCTCCCCCTTCGCCACCTCCTCGTTGTTGGACCTGAAAAGCATCTTGACCTGTGGGTCTTCAGACGAACCGCACATCTCCCGAAAGATCTTCATCTTTTCCAGCAGGAGCGACACGATCTGCTCATCCTTCCTCTGGAGCATTTCTAGCACATCACAGCAGAAACACAGTTAAGGTTTAGTGGATAAAACAGAAGGTCGAGGAAATGACAAAATATGATGATGATGATAATAAATTAATAAAATAATTGCTGACAACAAACATATTGTAGAAACTCATTCATAAGCAAATAGAAAATTATTTTTAAGAGCCTTATTTTTACACAAGCACACACACATGCATCAATTATGATAAGAAAATATGTTATTAATAATTAATAATAAATGTAAATTTATTTTAAAAATGTATTTGAAACTTTCAAAAACTAAAAAAAAAGCTAAATTAACAGAAATCATGTTTCTCACCTCTCATTTCTCTAGTCTTGGTTTCAAGCAGCTTCCTGTCTTCTTCTGTTTCACTCGGGATGCCCTCATCATCATCTTTTTCTCTGTAAACCAATGAAAAATAAAAACTAAACACTTTTTGGTAAGTCTTAAAAAAAACATCCCCTTTTCAGCCCCTGAATTTTTCTCTTATTAAATTAAGTAATTAATTACAAAATTATTTAGTCATTTAGTCAATTATATATATATATATATATATATATATATATATATATATATATATATATATATATATATATATATTCATACAAATATATACAGTTGAAGTCAGTATTATAAGCCCACCTGTTTATTTTTCCCCAATTTCTGTTTAAAGGAGAGATTTTTTTAAACACATTTCTAAACATAATAGTTTTAATAACTCATTTCTAATAACTGATTTATTTTATCATTGCCATGATGACTGTAAATATTACTATGCAAATTATTTTTCAAGACACTTCTAGACAGCTTAAAGTGATATTAACTAGGGTAATTAGGTTAACTAGGCAGGTTAGGGTAATTAGCCAAGTTATTGTATAATGATGGTTTGTTCTGTAGACTACCGAAAAATATATATCTTAAATATGCTGTATAATTTTGACCTTAAAATGTTTTTTTAAAAATTAAAAACTGCTTTTATTCTAGCTAAAATAAAACAAATAAGACTTTCTCCAGAAGAAAAGACATTATCAGACAAATTTCCTTGCTCTGTCAAACAACATTTGGGAAATATTTAAAAAAGAAAACAAAATAATCACAGGGGGGCTAATAATTCTGCCTCCAACTACCTATATAATATCTGAATATACCTTAAAACTAGGGCTGCATAATATTGGAAAAATCTATCATTGTGCAGTTTTTTATTTTGTGATATATATTGTGATATGAATTTCACCAGAAGACTTAATATATTATTTGGATATTGTTAGATCGATTAAGATGATTCTGCAGTGGGAGTGCATTCATTCATACACTTTCTTTTCGGCTTAGTCCCTTTATTAATCAGGGGTCGCCACAGTGGAATGAACCACCAACTTATCCAGCATATGTTTTACGCAGCGGAAGCCCTACCAGCTGCAACCCATCACAGGGAAACACCCATACACTCTCATTCACACATACACTACGGAAAATTTAGCTTACCCAATTCACCTATAGCGCATATCTTTGGATTGTGGGATTGTGGATTGTATGCAAACTCCACACAGAAATTTCACCTGACCCAGCCAAGACTCAAACCAGCGACCTTCTTGCTGTGAGGTGACAGCGTTACCCACTGTGCCACCACGCCGCCGAGTGGTAGTGCATCTCCATAAAATCTAATAAACAATCTATAAACTTTTTGGGGTCCCCCAACACATTTTCGTTGCTGTCTATGCTACTTGCAGTACATTTCCATATTTGCATGTATTCTGAGTATTTTCATGCATAATAATCTACAAGTAAAATCAAGAAAAATATAGAATTGATATAAAGTGTTTTATGGGGTTCCGAGTCTAACAGTATTCAATACAGTAACTGAATGATGAAAATAAAAAATAAGTCAATACAATGAATTGTAGATAGGGACACAAATGGTACAATTTCTTACACCTGAATTTTTTTTGATAACATTATACAATCACAGGTCTCATATATATATATATATATATATATATATATATATATATATATATATATATATACATATAGCATCCCTTTGAATTTTTTTTTTTTCCCCAAATTATGTTTGACAAAGAAAGAAAATTTTCACAGTAAGTCTGATATATATATATATTTTTTTGTTCTGGGGAAAGTCTTCTTTGTTTTAATTTTTTAAGGTCAATATTATTAGCCCCTTCGGCTATATTTTTTCGATAGTCTACAGAACAAACCATCATTATACAATAACTTGCCTAATTACCCTAACATGCCTAGTTAACCTAATTACCTAATTAAGCCTTTAAATGTCACTTTAAGCTTTATAGAAGTGTCTTGAAAAATATCTAGTCAAATATTATTTACTGTCATCATAGCAAAGATAAAAGAAATCAGTTATTAGAACTGAGTTATTAAAATAGCACATTAACATAGCATAAAATGATAGAACAAAATGAATTCTTCATCTTTCCAAATTATTTAGCTTCTCAAAAAAGAAAAAGCTT